TCTTTAATAACATATTGGTATTCTGCACAATACCAATAATATCTAAACATTCATACTCTAGGTATACTTACATGCTCTGCTACATGTTTCTAACATACACCTCATACATACTCTAATTATATGTGCATGCTCTGTTACATGTTCTTACACGTATATTCTTCATCTGTGTTTATCTCATTACTTGGAGATATTCACTTAGTGCCCAAAGATTCATCATATATATATATATATATATATATATATATATATATATATATGTGTGTGTGTGTGTGTGTGTTTGTTAGGATACCATATGATACTTGTCAAGACTCAAAACAAATCTGATACAACTTGCCAAGTTATGATGACCCTTGTTAGGAAGTAATGCGGATAACACACAAAACTAAAAGCACACAAAAACACACTATTTATGTGGTTCGGTCAAGGTGATTTATGTAGACGGACAAGAGGGGAGTATTCTTTATTCATATAGTTCTCAAATAGATATTACAGGTACAACTAAAAAAAGACTCAATCTAATCATTAAGGATATATGACACGTGAAATGATTTAGCATGCATCCCTATTTATAATGAAAGGATTAGACCTAAAACCCAAATGGGTCAAGTCCATTGGATCATAGGCCAATGAAATGTGTCAAAAAATCACAATCCACCATGAAATATCTTCTAGAACATTCATCCATGTTATAGAACACATGAGCATTAGCAACGCACATGATTGAGTGTTGTGTTTTATTCAAAAACTAGTTTCAAAAACATGATTTTTAACAACGAAAGACTTATAATATTTTGAATAACATAAACAAGTTAAACCCACCAAGGATCATCTTAAGCTTGAAGTTCATAACCAAATGATGAAATTCAAGAGAGTATAAAAGCAAGTAATCTTCAAGAAAAAGATAAACAACATGGAGAGTGTAACATGACGACGCATGTTACGGTTTTGGTGCGTGTTAGACTCTACAATTGAAAGCCTTTCTTATGTCCAGATAAAGTAGAAAGTTAACCTAATGGTCCTTAACCATTAAGCCCTTATAACACTGGACAATGATGTTCCCCATGCATGCAAGCCATGCTTAATACTTTTGATTAAACAATCAAAAGTTCCATACTCCCTTATCCTATCTCTATTTTTAGATTTTATATTAAAAAAGAAGCATGGATTTTAAATTTTATAAAGAAGTTTATAAAATATAAACTCTAACTTTTTGGTAAACGACAAAAGAAATCATCTAGTCCAAAAGGTTTTGCATGACTTTTTAATTAATACCATATGAATTATGTAATGTTACTTGCGAATGAAATTTATTATTTCCATGAAATAAATAGTTTCCAATTAATTATAAGAGTTTATTGAATATTTATTAAAATGAATTTCTAATAAATAATCAATTGTATCAAGTTGTTGTTAGTGTGACCCTTTATATCTTATGTTAATTAGCAATATCACTTTAATATGATTCTTGAGTATACTAGATCTTTCAATCTCCCACTTCCACAAGATTCATATTAGACTGATATAGATAGTAGTGAACGTCTAGCAACATTTCACTGCCCCCATCAACATATGACTTTGTGCCATTCTGTTAATGCCCAATTCCCAAAAGCTCCAAGCTACAAGTGGTGTATATAAGGTAAGTTTATCGGTTATCCTTTTATCACAAACATCATGTTAAACATGAGATAGGGATCGAAATCAATCTCATATGGTGTTCAACTTTTGGTAAGTCGCCCTAGATGTCTAACTCTCAACACGTAAGAGGAACAAATCCCATCTTGACTACATAAGCCTCTTGAATAGTTCATACCATACCTGAAATATCTTTTATAACTGCCCAGTTAAGGACCAATGTTCGACCATATCTAAGCATAACATTCCCCCACACTTAAGTCTCACTATGTATCTCAAGTGTTAAGGATACAACGATAGTACCTTTTAATAAAGTATCATTCACGATAGCGATAGATGAGATGATCTTGACACGAGTTAGTGCAATACCAGTTCTCTGAAAAGTACCTATGAAACGTTGTTACAACCCAATGCCTACCTTCAACTAGTGAAAGTCAACTAATCCAATTCATAATAGTCTTACTTTATAATTGCTCCCATAATTATAATCGACTATGAACTTTTAGATTAATAAGATTATTCATGGATTAAACATGTTAATATAGAACATAATAATATTGATGTTATGATTATATCCTAGTATATCAAAACATTATATAATAGTTGTTGTCACAATGTTCCAATATCTAAATACTAAATCCAAATCAAAATCCCATTTGTAGAATAATAAAGTCTTATAGATGAAGTGTGACCATTTACACTTAGCTTAGAAGAAGTACTTTATTAATGGGTTCGACTAAACTTAATTTGTGTGAATTTTTTGAATACTATCATCTCCATATTTGACTTTACTCTAGGTATAGTTAAATATCTTGGAGTATATGATTGGTATTCTTTCGTCACATAGAGTCCCTTAGCTCAATTAAGCATACTCTCGAAGTCACAAAGATTTCTATGTGATCCCTGAATGGTAGAGATCAACATAGATTTAAACTTCTGAAGTAGCATACTCTTATTTTGTAGTATATTGTGTCATTTTGTTTTTGTTGCACCTTATTCCAACTAAAATTACTCTTCATCTCACAATGGAGTCATAATCCAATTATAATTCATAACTATATATATTTGTTTAGAAATCATAATCTTATGTAGCTCTTTACATGAAGATTTTTATTCTAAACTATATGTCTCATATACATTCTCTTAGTTCTTCCAAAGTACTCTTAGAATGTTTGTATAGTCATCTAGTGACTTAACCATGTATTCAATTGGTATATTATGATATGCTCATAGCATGATCATATATCAAGTATTATGCATAATATGGCATAAATGATGGATTCATTTGTCATGAAAATTGAATATAAATCATTTCAGCTAGTTCAAGCCTATGAGCTAGGTCCTTTAGAGGCTGGCTCAAACTTAGTGTCATATGATAATGCTAAGGTTCCTATAAAGGAATCTTCTATCTTGATCTCTTTCAAGATATTAGCAATATATACATAAGTATATAAAACTTTTAACATTCATTTTATCTATCTCTAAATATTTTACATTCAAAGAATGTATCTTGTCCTTCCTAAGTCTTTCATTTTAGAAACACATTCTGAGTCAAGGTGAAAACCCTAGGCATGGTCAGAATGTAACTTCTCATGATTAAATATGTCTCAATCATATTATATTAAGAATGTCACTATGCTCCCACTAGTTCTTAGTAAACACACATGTTCTATTCATTTTGATATAAAAACATACCGTGTGGTTTTACATTAAAATGAAGATTGCAACATTGAGATGTTTGCTTTATATCCACTAGTGGATCTTAAGATTTACACATTTTATTAGGATAACATGGATTAAGAAAACCTCCAAGTTAATCTATATAGATATTGATGCGACATCAGCTCCGACCACCTGCTCTGAGGATGTGCTTCTACGCTGGAGACGGATCTGCAAGGTAACAATAGACAAGGTCGTTAGAGCCGCCCCAGGGACTATGCCCCGGGAGCGGACTCCGACAATCAAGTTAGATCATCTAGTATATCTGAGATGGTCCTCCATAGCTGGAGAGAACCATCTTGATGATGGTGGTGGTTTATGGTGGCTGATAGTAGCGGGTGGTGGCGGGTGGTGGTTGATGGCAGCGGGTGGTGGCTGAGCCAACCGGCCGGAGGATAGTGTGGTGGCTGAGCGATGGCGGAAGTCTAGTGGTAGCTGAGCCACTTGGGAAGGAGTCTAGGGAAAAGGTCTAGTGGCGGTTGAACCACTTAGGGAAGAGAGAGTCTAGGAAAAAGGTCCTCTTCATGGAAGAGGCCCTATTCTATTTATATGGGGAAAACTAGGTCAAGCCTTGGGCCAGCCCAATTCAGGCGCAGCTAGCAAGGAGCTGGGCAAGGCCACCTGGAGGCGCCGGGCGGGGCTAGCGGGCATGCACCAGGAAAGGTTGGCAGGGGAACGCTAGGCAAGGGAGCGTCAGGGTGGGCCGGCAGGAGAGTCCCCATCATGGCTGGCAAGGGAGCGACAGGCAAGGCTGGAAAGGGAATGCCAGGCAGGAGCACGCCAGGCCAGGCTGGCGCTCTAGAGCAGTTTAGGCCATGCTAATGGACCATATATCATCAAGTCCCCCCAGTCATCTATTAGTATATGTCAATTAAGAAAAGTGGCCTTTCTTAAAATCTTTTTGCTATATTTCATATTAAGAATATGAATTTATAGTAAACAATATCCTTGTTGAACTAATCATAGCTACTTGTGAAAAAGGTTTGATCATAGTCAATGTCATGAGTATGATAAAGACCATAGTAAATGACATGAGTGTTATTTTATAACAAGGACATTTGTTGATTTTATACCTCTTCCAATTTTGCTTGAAGAGCAAGGTTACGCTGATGCATCTCTTCACGAAGTCGAGCGGATTTGGCTAACTCAAGTGTTAATTTTTTGTTGTTAGAAGATAAATCGATATTCTATTGCATCATCTTTGTTTTCGCCCTCTCCAAGACTCGATAACTTGATCGAAGTTTGTCCATGCATTCTAAAAGATTGTTGAATTCCATCCTCTTCACGGCGGCCGTAGAAGCATGAGCCTTGTTGCGTAGTGAAACTTCGTTCATCCAATGCAAGCCTTTAAGGATGTGGCAACGAGCTTTGTCCATTCCTTATTCATCAGTCATCTTACCAAGAACATGCTTATTGGCGAAGTTGGTAGATGTATAAGGATGAAGGAAAGAAGGAAGAGAAGAAGCTAGAGACATCAAAGTAAGAGGAGGAGCTTAACTTTTCACAGGAATAAAATCTGCATACACAAAAAAAAACAAAACTAATAAAGAAGGGAAATACCAATGTGAAAAGTAAGGGAAAAAAGGATTACACCTACCAAATTTCAAAATAGTTGAACTAGAAGGAGTAGAAATAGTCACAAACATACCTTAGGAGGGAGTGTCGAGAGCTGTGTTATCAGCCGAAGATATTAAAGCCTCAACAACCATGGTATTAGCAATAGAGACAACAGGAGCTCTGGAGACTGGTTCAAATACAACAAGAGGAGTCATGATAGTGGTAGTAGGTATCGGGGGACAGATGCCAAATAACTTCTCTCGAAAATCTTGCTTGGACACACCATTCTTAAGAAGAGACATCATAGGAAGGATCTCGGAAGTAGGCGACACTAAGACTCTTACTTGAGAGTCAATGGACAAAAAAACATTTGTGGTTGGATTCGGAGTAGTTAGAAGAACCTGTTGGATGGGTTTGACAACAAAAATAAGAGTGATAAGAATAATGGATTCTGTGGTAGCTTCAATTGTGGCGGTTAACTTCGGGTCAGAATAAACGGGGCATTCATGTAGCCTGGACGACTCAATAGTGGCCTCTAGAGTTGAGCAGTCAACATTTTCTGTAGAATCACCTAGGGTTACGCCGTCACTATCACCATCCGTATTCGAAGGAGTGGCAAGTTTAGAATGACGAACTGTATCAGGATTTTTGGGGGAAGATACACTGGAATGATTACTGGAAAGGGTAACGCCAAAATCCCCGGATACGGTTTCACTATCAAGTATTGTCTCCCCCTTCTTTCTCTTGGACGAACCTTTTGGAGACTTGGCGGGAGGCTTGCCATGAAGATTTTCGGTTTTTTTTTTTTTTTGCATTTTTAGGTGGGGGGATGAGGCCATGGTATGGTCCCCAACCTCGTCTTGAACGAGAAACTAGATGCTCGACTTGGATTCCAAATTGGGATTGACATCGATCGAATCGTCATGGAACACCCTTGACCATGGAGCACAGGGGTAGGGAGGCTATCGTTGACGTAAGTGGCATCGCCTAATCCAGCAAGTTCAAGGGTTGAAACGTCAAATTTGGCCCACTTAATGAAATTTGCCACAAGACGATCAATGGCAGAACGTTCTTGATGGGTAAGCTCAAGGGCATAGTCATATTCACGAACATGGGCATCTTCAACCTGAATGGGAAGAATGAATGCATATGCATCCACAAAAAAGAACTCAAGTTTCCATTTCTTAATAGAAGAGGTCAAGCCGTCATAAATTTAAATGGAGTTGTGGCAGATAGAAAATGATACCAAGTCATTGGTCACCATCGTTACAAAAAAGTGGCGAAACACTGATAGGGATGGAACGATATTCAGGGCTTTGTTTAGAAGCATAAAACACATAATCTTCTTGAATCCATTAGGGGCAATTTGAGCAATATGAAGCTTGTAGTGACTCAGGACGGAATTTAGAAAATCAAAAGTAGGAAGGTGAAGACCAGATCTAAAGAAGTTGGTGTAAACACCCACGTAGCCTGGAGGAGGATCGATAATGGATTGGTTCTCATGCGGGAGTAGGGGCTTAATTTGAGAGTCGATGTGGTAAGATTTGATATCATCAAGCAGTTTTTGGGGCATAAAATATGAAATCATACACATAGAGCGACCATCTTTTGCCATGGAGAAAAGGTAATGAAGCAAGCAAGTGGAAAGTAATAAGAAAGCAGTAGGTGAAAGAGAATAAGTGGGAATTATTGAATCAATCGTGACCAATAAATAAGGAGACAAATGCAAAATCCTGAAGTGACGGTTACTCGATAAGCAATGATGATTTGAAAAACGGTAGCAGTCAAATCAATTGCTTGATTCATCATACGGACTTATCAGTCACAACTAATGACGATAAGATGGGGACCCGCTCGACCCATCTTCATCTCCATTTCCCTAGGCACTAAGGTATAAAAGCCAACACCTCGAAGGTACGTAATCTAATCCATTCTCAAATACAATATCGAATTTCCCTATCTTGTTTACTGACATTGACATTGGATTGTTCTCCCAGGTCCAAGGACCGACAGACGTATAACAGTTTGTTTATCTTTTAGGTTCGGACTAAAAGGGGGGTCAGACAACATCACGTTCTTCATTCAGACTAAGTAAATCTGAGAAACAACAACGAGGAATAACATTCTTCATTTTCTTTTCAAGAGGTTGAAAACCAACAACAACCTTCTTGTTTGTAGTTGGTTTCGAAACCATTGGAGGAACCATATAGGGATTCATAATCGGAGAAGAAGTATTACTAACACCTTCTCTCCCCTTGTTTCGATGTAGCCCCGCTAGTCGAAACACACTAGAAATCGAAAGATTATGAAACAAAAGTTTGAAGCATATCATCAAACATGGTAGAGATATAGTCTATATATATATATATATATATATATATATATATATATATATATAGCATCCTTAGCTTCATCAAACATGGTAGAGATATAGTCTATATATATATATATATATATATATATATATATATATATATATATATATATATATATATATATATGGAAAAGTGAATATACCCTTAATGGTATATAAGCTTAGGTACCCAAACTCACCATGCTATGTTGTTTTGTATCATATGTGTACATTGTAATTGTCTAATGTTCTTATAATTCAACTTCTAACTTGATTTACTTCTAAGATTTTTATAAATTTCACATCTATCTTCCTTTTACATAATTTTCATTTTCAACTCTAATATATATAGTCTAATAGGTGTCCGGCAAAAAAAAAGTGATATAAGAGGAAAACAATAGTGAAATTTCGAAAATCTTCAAAGTAAATCAAGTTAAGGTTGAAGTTTAATAACATTATAATGAATATATCAAACAAAACAACTAATTATAGTGAGTTTGGATACCTAAGTTTATATACCCTTAAGGGTATATTCACTTTTCTCATATAATATATATTATATATATATATATTATATATATATATATATATATATATATATATATATATATATATAACACCTTCTCTCCCCTTGTTTCGATGTAGCCCCGCTAGTCAAAACACTACTAGAAATTGAAAGATTATGAAACAAAAGTTTGAAGCATATCATCAAACATGGTAGATATATATATATATATATATATATATATATATATATATATATATATATATATATATATATATATATATATATATATATATATAACATCCTTGGCTTCAACCATCTTTATATGTCTTTAATTAATTTCAAAATTACGAGTTCACTTATGTCGGCATGCGAATGACATTTACGTCCACGTGTTTTTGCAGACTGTTTGTTTTTAGAAAACAACAAACGTAAAACGTTTGTATGTCATCTTCTCCAAACAGACATGGACCCTGTCAAAAACTTGTCACAATGACTATTTGTGTTCTTTCAACCACAAGAACCATTTATGTAAATGTTTTCTTATTTTTTCTTATAAATTTATTTAATGTAAACAAATAATTTGAAATAATTATATAATTGCATAACTTTAATTTCTAGAAGGCAAAGCAAAGTATCAAATTTACATTTGAAATATTTCTACTTCTATGTTTCATCTCACGCGATGTCCTTCATCTGTTGTAAGATGCCAATTATATTATCATTATATATTAACTCGCTGAATATCATTAAAATTTCCAACACTTAAATATTCGTTATATGATCATTACAAGTTATCTGATCGTTAAAATTCCAAACGACAGAAATGCAATCAAAGGTTATATTGATCTTAATTTATTGTCGGGCACGAAAAACAAAATGTAATGGTATATGTACCTAATCGACAAACACACGACACCCTTGTGTGTTATCGGGTTGGTATGGTCTTTTCACATTGAACCGTAAATGGGTCACAGCCATTGTGATATGAACGATACCGAAGTATAGAGCGTCGGGGCCTCATTTATGTGTTGAAATCAGCACACGACTTGATAATAAGTTTTGTGCTCTATTATCAGTCAATTATGATGGAACTCCTGTACGTATATACGGATTTTTATATGATGACTCATGTGAGATGGACAATATTATCTCCAGATGGGTCTATGTGGGGCATAGTTTTTGCATGGTGCATAACTTTAGTGTAAAATGTGGGACATTTGCACATAACTGTTTATTACACTCTTTTTAGCAAGTTGATGGATCTAAGAACACTTTAGAAACATGTACCCTTGATCAGAAACCTTATCCTACACATGACATACCTTTGTTGAGTAATGGGACAACTCGTTTACACTGTTAGGATACATAAACCTTCTAATAACGACTGATGAAAGGGAGTGAGTCAAGCCTGCAACCCTACTTGTGAATTAAATGTATCCATCACATTACTCATATGTTGTTTATTGGGAAATAAAAGCCCAACAAAGTTTTCAAAACATTCAAAAAATCCCAATTATGTTTTGTCTGTTCAAAAAATCCCAACGAACTTAATTTTTTGTTTAAACAGTCCAACAATGTTCCAAACTGTTCAAAAAATCTCAATTTTGTTTTGTTTAAATTCATTGGGTTTTTTTTAACAAGCAAAACATGATTGGAGTTTTTTTTAACGTTTTAGAAACTTTATTGGTCTAACAAGTCATTTTCCCGATCCGGTAATAAGCCACATCATCTATTTCTCTTATTTGACTTTAAGGAAAGTGTAACTTAGTTGAGTTTTTTAGACAAAATGTTAAGTTCGTTGGGTTTTTTTAGACAGACAAAACATTATTGGGGTTTTTTGAATAGTTTGAAAACTTCGTTGGGCTTCTAAATCATTTTCCCTTGTTTATTTTGGCATAGATATATATAATCTTTACCCACATGAGCAAAGCGTACAAGCATTCATCTTCAAGCTAGTTCAAACAGCCTTCTTCTTCACTAAAAGCTTCAACTAATAGACAATACTGAAAGGAAAATGAGTTACGATACTGAAACTTACATCAAAACAATGAAAATGGTACGTTAATAATTAATTTATGAAAAATTTTGATCAACTTTCTAAACCAATCGTTTTCATTTCAATCTAGCCATTGTTATTGTTAAAAATATATCAAAGAATAATCATTCGTTCCAAGATTCAATTAATGTACAACATCCTAAACTCTGCTTTTTATAATTGCAGGGTAAGAAAACTGACGAACCAGATGTTGCAGAGTTCATATCGGCAATTGCAGCCGAAAACAACGCTCAACTCATGGTGGTTGCATGTGCTGAGGCGGCAGGCTCCACCACCAAGGCCTCATTGCTACACCTCATAAAACTGGTGGTAGGCTGATCTGCATCGTCAAGGGAATCGAGGAGCTTCACTATTCCAAGCAAGCTCTTAGCTTATATGCAATCCAAGTAGAGTTTATTGTAGGAAATGCTCGAACTCTCTTGTAAAATGACTACAAATCCGCCAATCTTGTTGTAATTGACTGCAATCTAAAGAATCATGAAGGGATTTTTTGAGCTATACAAAACAAGAGAGAAAAGAGTATGATTGTTTTGGGGTATAACGCATTTTGGAAGGATTCATGGGTTTGGAGCAGAACAAAGAGTCACTTGTTACCCATAGGAGAAGGGCTGCTATTGATGAGAATTGTCGGACAATCTGATAATGGTGGTGACACGAACGGTGGCCACGGCGGCAACAATGGCCGATGGGGAAGTCATTGGGTTGTTAAAATAGATAAATGCGCAGGCCACGAGCATGTTTTTCGGATCAGATCACCAGGCGTTAGAGTTTTTCGAGCTTGAAGTTTCTAGATTTTTGTTGCCTTGATGAAGGTGTTCATCCCTAGCTAAATGTATATATAATCATAGCTTAGACATAATCGACTTGTGGGTGTAAATTAAATGTAAATCACCAAAAGGATTATTAATTTGTACTTACCATCGATTATGGATTTTGCGGTATCTTAAAACTCAGTTTTAATGAAATTTTGATTTAAGTTTTTGATATCATGAAGCATGGGGCTTTATTTCTAGTGTAAATAAAATTACAACCAGATAGAAGGAAAAAAGGCAACAAACTATGTCATAATACTTTTTAGGATTGAAAAACTAACTCTTTTTTAAAAACTATATCCATAGATCTTGGGATTGTAGCATTAGAATGTTTGACATTTTACACTCGTTTTAGAACTTCCATCGCTTTTGGTGCTAGGAAACCAAATGTATAAAAAACAAATGGTATAAACACTTGTTAATTATCGATACGAGCTTTTTCATGTCTGACCACTTTACTTGAGGCTGCTTTTAAAGCAGCTTGCTTTGCAGTGAAATCCTCACTCCTCAAGCTTACTAGATGGAAACTACTATTAGATATCCACACAAGTATGCTTCCCTTCTATCCACCCAAAAACCAAATTATATGTTAGTCTAAGTGTTGACCTTTTTTTCCAACAGATCAGTTAGGAGTTCATTGGGTGCTTCTTTCTCAGCCGAAACCCCGAAACTCTTGAATACGTCAAAAAGAACATCCCTAACCATATCATGTTGGTATTTAAAAGAAGGGAGCTCTTGGCAATGTACTGCATGGTCTCCAATAGAGTCTAAGAAGGCTTTATGACAAACTGGGAATATCTCGTCAACGAGAAATAAAGGGGTCATGAGACGCTACTTACGGATAATCTGATAATCCACGGACAACATATGTTGGCCAAGACCATCTATAGGGATAGCAAGAAGAAATCTTGAGCGTGTAGTACTTTTAGACACTACAAAATTGCGGTCTATCTAACTAACATATCAATGTCTATTACCATGACCTTGATAATTTTGCTAGAAAGGGTTCTCGCCAATGCATGTTGGGCTTTAGGGAGGACGATGTCCTTAGTAGAAAAATCGTTGAGGTTAGGACTTGGGATCTTATCACGAACACAAACCAAGGTAGGAACATAGTTAGAATCCATACCATATATGACAATGTCTCATATGATGTGGTCCTGTAACACCTAAAACCACCAAATCGAATGGTTAAATAATCAAGTTGCCACTGGATGTCACTGAAGAACGGACCTCCACAAACCATTAAGTCCTCAACGACTCTCATAACCCTTTGTCAAAGGACAAGGCAGCTTCCTCTTGCACACAGGTTGGCACTTTCTCAAGCAAAAGAAAAGTCTAACATTCGTTTGTTGGTTTGTTGATGTTAGAGAAACCATATTTATGCTAACATAAAGAGTTTCATCTGAATGTTTAATGGTTATATGTTTTCCAGTTTATTTGTTGGTATAAATCTTGTCCGTCTAAAAATGGCAAGTCATAAGTTTAAGATATATTTACTTAAAAATACGTCGGTGAAGGCCCTGAAAACTAACTAATTCCGACATACTTTGAGTTCTTTTTCTTTTTCTAAGTTTGGAGACATCAATTATGTCGGTGTAAGGGGGGTATATATTATTGGTAATGAACAATTGTTTTTTAGGAAATCTTCCTCCTTTGGTTTTGTGTCTCTATTCATGATATATTTAGTATATCTTTTTGTAGATGTCATTGGTGTCGTGTCAAGCCATACCAAAGTGGTGTTGAGTACCAAGGAGGGTTAGTAGCCAAATAAGGTTCCATTTGAATTAAAGGATTTGGGGTAATATACAATAACAAAAACCGTAACATCCCAAATACCATGGTAAAACTTTCAATTTTTTAAAATGAATTAAAATCCATTTTCATAAAGTCAGACACCATAAAAACAACAATTTCACAATACAAAATCAAAAATCAGAGTATCATAGCATAATGTCTCCCAAAATCATGAAGAATATTGGCTAGTGTACAGTCACACCTTCACTTTTCCTCGATCGTCAGAAGTCCCTAAACATTTAAATCCATAACTGTGAACCAAAGTTTAGTGAGTTCCCCAAAGTATCACATACAACACAACACATCAAAACATATATAATAGCTATGGGTTATCAGCAACCCTATGAACTATCAGCAGCCCTAAGTTATAATAAACTCAAATAGAACAACTAGGGTTATCAGCAACCTTAAGCTATCAACAACTCACATATGACAAATTGCATTATCAACAACCCTGAGCTATCATCAACTCACATAGAACATATGATATAAGTAACATAGTGAGAAAACTCACATCATAGAAAAAACCAGAAAACCGCTATAACTCACAACAAGCGAAGATAGACACAACAATCACCTAAACATGGAATCCAAGTTCAAATCTCAACCTATGATCTAAACCCTAAAGTTTGACCTAGATTCAACCTTATCAAAAGTCAATGGTCAACGTTAACCCTCCAACCATTGCGTCTTGTCTAACCCATGGCCATGTTGTGGTAACATGGGGACACATTTTGTTGAATTAGGTGTCTAAGCCCATAACTATAATTGGTATGTACTTGACCCGATAGTAGCATGGTCCTTTTGAGTTGCCTTCACCATAGCAATTTGATAGGATGGACTTTTGAGAAAGAGGATATTTGTGATTTATTAATATATTATAAGTATATAATATTAATTGAGAAGTCATATTGTTTAATTATTGTTGATCAAGAATTAATTTGGAATTAATTTAGTGATCAAAAGAGACTAGTTAAATTTACGAAGACTGATTAAGTAAATCAGTAATACTTATAGTTTGGGCCAATGATCCATGGTTGATTAGGGATAGGCTAAACCTATATGATAGTTCATGAAGGTTTAACCCAAAGGGCCTAAGAAATATGAAGGGTCATGGTGAGTTAGGGTTTGCATGGATGAAACTCTAGCCTTTGCCACACTATAAAAGCAACCCCTTAACCCTTAAAATCGGCCCATGCATTCTAAAGAAGAACCATAACCGATTTTGGAGCTATCTAGCCTCTTCTCATAAGCCTCCTCTTTCATTTGGTGTTTGTGACACATTAGAGGCATCACATTTGAGGTGCTAAAGCTTTCAAAGGCCAAGAACTACAAGCTACACTAAGAGGTATTCATCTAACTAGGTTTTGTATTGTATATCTCTAATTTCATGCTAGCTAGGGTGTATGCTTTAGGAAAATGAAATTGCATGTATAATTAGAGAAAACTTTGATCCAAAGCATCTAGGGTTGCATGTGCACCATAGGAGTGTTATAGTGCTTAAAGCCTTACATATTTGCCACTAGTCTTTCGCCCACCACGCCATGGTCAGCCCCTGGCTACACCGCAGTCCACCTGAAAAACTCATTTCATTGTTAAGTTCTTAATTTTTAATACCAAGCCTTAAATTCTCCAAAAGGCGTTAACACACGAAATGATTCATAAAATTTATAACTTGTTAGGAAGTAAAGTGATAACAAGCAAAACTAAAAGCGCACAAGACACAATATTAACGTGGTTCAGTCAAGGTGACCTACGTCCATGGGTAGAAGGGGAGTATTCTTTATTTCAAATATCTCAAAGAGAGGTTAAAAGCACAATTTTCACAGAGATTCACCTAACAATCCAAAATTCAAAATACAAAACGATTTAGCATGCATCCTTATTTATACTTGGGGGTGTTAGGCTAGGTGTCTAAGCCCATAGCTATAATTGGTATGTACTTGACCTGATAGTAGCATGGTCCATTTAGGGTTGCCTTCATCAGAACAATTTGATTGGATGATTATTTTGAGTAAGAGGTTATTTGTGATTTATTAATATATTATAAGAATAATATATTAATTGAGAAATCATATTATTTAATTTATATTGATCAAGAATTAATTTAGTAATCAAAATAGACTGATTAAATTAACAGGGACTGATTATGTAAATCAGTGAACAATATAATTTGGGCTAATGATCCATGATTAACTAGTAATGGACTAAGTTCATATAAGAGTCCATGAAGTCTTATTTGATTAAAAGCCTAAGTGTATGGATTATGATTAAGAAGCGACTCTTGGAATTCGACACTATAAATGTGTTCCCTTATCTCAAAAAAATAGCACTCAAGCATTCCTAGAAGAAGCTAGCCGATTTTGTTATCTCCTAAACCTCTCTCATTGTTCTCCAATTTTTTGTGGTGTTTGTAACTTGTTTGAGGCATCACACTTGAGGTGCTAAGCTCTTGAAAGGCAAAATTCTACAAGCTACAACAAGAGGTAATTATCTAACTAGCTTTCATGTTTCAAGTATCAAATTGTATGCTAGTTATAGGTTTCATGCTTTGGATAATTTTTTTATTGCATGTTTTACTAGAAAAAACTTAGATCCAAAGCATTAATTTTGTATGTGCACCATAGGAGTGTTATAGTACATAAAACCCAACAGTGGTATCAGAGCCATGGGTATTTTCTGTTATATAGATGCAATTGTATTGTTTTCAAAGCTGGAATTTTTTTCATTTTTTGCCTTTGATTGCTGAACTCGACGAGTCCCATGAGTGGACTCGACGAGTTGTATCGTATGGTGATGAACTCGACGAGTCCATGCCTTGACTCGACGAGTTGGATCATCGGCTTGCAGATTTTCGGGTTTTTGTACAGAATTGGATTAGGATCATTACCACAAACTGTTTTGTATCATAAAATCTAATTTTTCTGATATGGTAGTGATTATCCTCATCAAATTAAAAGATGAATTGTCAAATTCTAAGATAGTTACTAGTTTATATGATAAAGCAAATTATTTGTAATTTTTGATTTGAAATTATCTTGCTAGATGAGTTGCATCAGGTCAAATTGGTAAAAGATAAATAATATGATTATTTTATTAGTTTAAAAAGTTTTGATCTAAATGTTTTGAAGAGTTACAAAACTTGTCTTCAAGTTTTGGAATTCAAAAGGTTT